ATTTATATTTGGTTTAATAATATAATTTTATTATAAAGATAATAATTAGTTATTTTGTTAGAACTTAATAATTATCCTAATTATATTTTAGATATTTTATATTTTAAAATTATATGCTTATTCTCTATTTGATTATATTTATCCGCAGTTAGTTATACGAATTCAAACATGGAACTTTAATAAGTTGTACATATGCATAATTTAATTGTAATATTAAATTTTAAGTAATATGTATCAATATACAGTATTTCATGCATAAAAAATGGTTTTTAAGAGTTTTTGTCAAATACTTTATAATATAGTATAGATAATTACAGATATGTATATTAATATATAAAGTAATAATAATAAAATATATTATATTTTGATTGATTTTAACATTTTATGTTTTTAATCATAGTTTAAGTTTCAAAGCATTTCACACCCCTAATAAGGGGGTGCCATTAGCACTCCCCTATAACTATACAAACAGAAAGATAGAAAAGACAATATGTCCTATTGAGCTAACTCAGTTAACTAACTCACTTCATAACCCAGAAAGAAACTATAACAGACAACAGTTGCTATACTTCTAATTTGTCAAGCAATATCCATATAATAGGAGCTCATTAAAATGCTTTTGATGCATATCTGAATCACACGATCTTCATCAATCGTCTAAAATTAGATTAATGTTCAAATGCGAATTCGATATGTTCAGTTCAAAAATAGAAAAACCCTAATTGAAGAATTCGTGAATCAACATGATAGAATCAGAAATTTTTCCATACAATTCGACAACCACATAAGAGAATCAAGCATCATCTGCTCCGAAAATCAAAATCCGCGTAGAATTTCATCAGCACAACAAAGAAATTTGCATAAACTTAAAGTTAGTGTTACACTACAAGAAATAAGAACTAAGGAGATGAATAACATACAATTGGGGATGGACGATCTCCTTGAAGAGGAAACTGGCGCAAAAGCTGTTGAAGAGAAAGTTTAACGAGTATGAGAGAAAATGGGGAAAGAAGAAGCGATTTCCATGGAAAATTGAAGGTAAGAGAGCTTCAACGGCTTATAATGGTGTGATTGACTTGGAGTTCTTGACGGAGTAAAGCGAAAGGCGTGTGAAGTGATGACGTTTATGGTTTGTTTTTGTGGAATTTGGAAGAAAGACCCTGTTGATATTTCTATTGGCCGCCCATTTCACACGCACCATTCTCTCTTTCTTTTTTCACTCCACAATTATTATTATTATTATTATTATTATTATTATTATTATTATTATTATTATTATTATTATTATTATTATTATTATGTATTTAATTTGGTGTCAAGAAATTATACCTTTTTAAAATAATCATCTTTTATACATGAACAACTGTTTATTGATATATATATATATATATAGGGTTAAATGC